CTCTCATAGAGCACAGAACCAAAGCATGGAGAGACCGAATTAAAACTAGATGTGTGTGTGTGTGTGTATGTGTGTGCGTGTGTGTGTGTCTAACAACAAAGAATCATTTTTTAGTAAGTGTTCTGAACTTAAAATTAAAAGAAAGAAAAGAAAATGCTGTAGTTCAATTTATGAAACCAAGCAATAGTTGGGACCTAGAAAAGGTCCTGGCACATAGCAAGACGTCAATGAAGATTTTTAACTGACTGTTGAAAGAATAACCTCCTCCTTTAATGCCTTTTAAGGGCACCATTATTTGGGGAGGAAATTTTAGAACTTATTCATTTATTCACTGATTCAACCAACACTTACCAAGGGCTTCTCATGGACAGACACTGCATTCATTAAGTGATGCTGCTGGGGTGTTAGCAGAAATATGCCTGCTCCCGAAGAGGCCACCATGGGGGATAGACACTTAGAGAATTTTGACACTACTAGAGGCCCAGAGCACAAATTCATGGATCTTGAAAGGATCTGTGGGCCTCGAGGCTGCTGTGGGCACAGGAGCAGGTCTTGGCCAATCCTCCATTCCCCTGCCTGGCCCTCCTGCCACGCCCCTGGTCCCCTGTCTGCCAGCAGGGCAGCCCTGCTCCCATTGCAGCTGCTCCCACGTGCTGATGGCACTGGCCCTACTCACACCCTCTGATGGCGCGGAGCAATTGAGGCCGGAGCCAGCAGCGGGTGCAAGCGAGGCCACCACAGTCAGTGGGTGCGAGTGGCGGCTGCTGCCCCGATCACCCCTCAGGAGCAGGGGGAGGTAGATAAACCCTCAGGGGCAATTGGGGCCTACAGCCACCGCTCACACCCACTGATGGCATCGAGTGATTGGGACTGGCACCAGGCACCAGCAGGGGGTGCTAGCAGTGGCTCTGGCACTGGCAGTGGGTACAAGCAGGGCCAGTGTCGGCAGCAGATGCGAATACCAGGCAGGACCGCAAGGCGCAGGAGCAAAGAATTTTCAGTAACCACCAGAGGCTCGCTCCAATAACAGTGACCGGTGCCCCGCCTTGGTCTGGCGCCCGCACTCACCTGCTTCACCATCCCGCCGCGGCCAATGCCCACCATGTTCCGCACACACTTCCTGGTGGTCAGTGCCCATCATAGAGACCGGTTATCCGTTGTTTTGTTGTTCCAGTTGTTCAGCCATTCAGTCTATTTGCAAAATAGCCTTTTATTATATAGGATGAGATAGAAGAATACAAATAACTTCTCAGGATCTCAGTGCAGCCAAAGACTGACTCTGCCTGAGAGAAGTAGGCAGGTGTGGCATTGCACACAGATTGGTAGAGGTATTAAAACATGAAGGAAAACGGATACTCTAGCACCTCACAAGGGTAGTCTGACTGGTGTGAAGAACATAGGGAGAAAAGAAATGGATATGGAAAGACAGGGAGCCTGCAAAAACAGATGGCACCAGATTGTGAAGGCCCAAGGAGTTTGGAATATGCTATGCAATGAGCAGTCACTGAAGACTGAGTTCTTAGAGCAAAAGACAAAAGGAGAGAAAGGTCTAATAGTTTGCCCTGTGCCTCACACCATGTCTGGCAAAGCGGAATTGAATCTAATAAATTAAGGTTCATTACATAGCCAATTTTGTTTGTAGTATGAGAACAGTATGAAAATGAATAGATAGTTAAAAAATGGAGATTGGTGCCTAGATCAATAATAATATTACATATGTGAGGAATTTCACACTAGAACAAATGCAAGGGACATAAACACAGTATTAAAGCCAAAAATCTTCCTATTGAAAACAATGACTATATAGGCTTTCACATCACATGTATTTTGAATCGAACTCTATACTCCTTATCCCATTATGAGTTCACAGAATAATAAAATGCATTAGAACCTGGCAAAATTAACACAATAAAATTACAATAAAGGGCATTGCTTATTTCTTGAAAGACTTGCAAACACATGGAAAATTTACAGTCACAAAAAAGCTGAGTGATTTCCAGCAGGCACAAGAGAAATTTGTAGCTTAGCCAAGAAAATATTGGACATTTCCTATTTATCATTCCAAGGCTCTTTACACTACATGTCTTGCCTCTCTTTTTTTTTCCATTTGTTGTCTGATAGGCTTTGGAAAAGAGTAAGTACTTCCCTAGCTTCCCTTGATTTAACTAGTTTATAAAAGGTCAGGAAACACTTAGGAACTAGTGAAATCTTTGTATACCCGACAAGTGTGCAGTCTCAGAAAGAATTTGGCAACTTGGAGGCTTCTGTGGCGAGGTCAAGGGATCCTGGTAGATCTCTTAGAGGAGAAGAGAAAGGTGGAGAGTGCCACAGTTGCAAATCATAGCCATTTTGTAAACAGAAAATGATTAATCTTTGTCCTTGGCGCCCTCTCTCTCTCTCTCTCATACTTTCTGTAATTTGTTTAAATAATCTTGACCCTGCCACCATGAATTTCTATCATGTACTATAAAATCTATGATTTTCTTGTCTCATGGAGGGATTACCTGATTAAAAACAAAAACAAAACAAAACAAAAAACAATGTGCTATTCTTGGCAAAGAAAGAGATGCTGCTGACTCAGTGGTCATTAAGCCATAAACTGTGGGTATTTTTCCAGAGGTGGGGGTTGGGGGGCACTATTATGTGTCCGCTCGGTGAACCCTGGTGGATGATTTAGGCTGACAGGGCGGAGCCAGCCAGAGAAGCTATTTCCAGCTTTGGAATTCTCCTCTTGGTGAGAAATCAAGTAGTACTGACCTCAGTAGCCTACTCCAATGAGCAGAGAGCCAACTAGCTCAGCCAGTTCAGGTCTCCTCTTCTCTTCACTGTAAACAGTGTTGAATCAGGCAACTGATGAAGTCTTCAAACAGAGAGAAGTAATTGTCAGGCGAGCCTTAACTGTGTATGTGTTTTTAAATACATGATTTGCCTTGAGCTCAACAGCTACTTCCGAAAACTGAAAGCAGAATGGAAGATTCTGTTCACAATCCATCTCTGGGACACACAGGAAACATAACCCAAAGACAGCAAAACTCAGGGCGTGGTGGAGATGACTTCCTACAAGAGCAGATCTCAGCCAAGGCATCGAAGGGGCGCTCTGTTGAGCAGCATTTGGCAATCTTCTTTGGGTTACACTGAGGAATAAAGTGGTTCAATGATTCTATAAAATAAAGAGAAGCTGTACAGACACTTACCATCTTGCAGTCACCCTAATATTTTATTTAAAAAAAAAAACATTAAGATAGTCCTCTTGCCGAGACCGGTTTGGCTCAGTGGATAGAGCGTCGGCCTGCGGACTGAAAGGTCCCGGGTTTGATTCCGGTCAAGGGCATGTACCTGGGTTGCGGGCACATCCCCAATAGGAGATGTGCAGAGGGCAGCTGATCGATGTTTCTCTCTCATCAATGTTTCTAACTCTATCTCTCTCCCTTCCTCTCTGTAAAAAATGTATTTAAAAAGAGAGAGAGAGATAAGATGTATGAGGAGGAAGTGGCAGCACAGCAAGGCTCATCTCCTGCCCAGCATCACACAACAGCAGGAGACAGTCAGGGCTCCTCCCCTGTCCAGTCCCACAGCCTGCACCCCTAACCATGGGCTGTGTGTCCCTGACTAATAAGCAGCTCAAGCCCTTGCTTTGAGCACCAGGGAGAGGGAGAAATATCACAGGAGGTGTGCGTATGTGACACTTCTAAGTAGAATAATCAAAGCAGTCATCTCGGACAAGAACAGAACTTCAGTGCACGCTCCGCAGCGGGAAGCCCATCGTTTCCGGGAATTGGTTTTTCAAAATCACAGGGGGGAGGCCAAGAGAGGGAGGTGCCCTGGGGTGGCTGTGAAGGCCTCTGCCTGGCTTGGGGAAATAAATCCCTAAGGAAAACAGCAGCTCTGACTGCCAAGGCTGTTGCTCTTCTATCCTGCCTGCTCACTTCCTCCTCTATTATCTCCATTCAGCATTCATTCCTTTACCGAGCCCAGAAACTCAGCTACGGCTGGGGGCCAGCCAATGAAAACAGAATTATTTGCATGAACCCTGAAGTCGTTCCTGAGGAGCAGAGTCCTAAGGAGAATGAACTAAATGTTGCTCCTCCAGGCGCAGATACTGAGTTAAGGGAGATGAGACTTGGGGCCTGGAAATCGGAAACCTGAGTGAGAACACTGCCAGTGGGTAAGATAGAGATAGCCCTTCCCCACCCCCATTCTCTCCTCCCTCCCCTTGTACCAGTGGCCAGACATTGCTGGGAACCAGGCTCAGTTCAATCTGAGGAAAAGCTTTCTTGGTCAGAGCTGTCCAAAGACAAAATGAGCTGTGTTGTAGGGTGGTGAGCTCCTGGCCACTGGGGTTGTTGGAGAAGGGATTGGATCGCTATCTGGTGGGATGGACAAGGTCCTTTCCAGACCAAGTAGTTTGTGAATTCACAGGGGGTGGGTCGGCTGAGGGGCCCATTCTGGGTGGACTAGGCTGCTCTGGACTGTCATAAGGATGATGAAGAGGCCTGATAGGAAAGAGTAGTGAGAAAAAGCCTGGTGATGAGGCAGTTGGGGACTGGAGGTAGGAGTAGGAGGGGAGGAGGTGTATAGGGCTGTCATAACAAAATACAACAAACTGGGTGGCTTTAAACAACAGAAATTTAATGTCTCACAGCCCAAACTTAAGGTATCAACAAAGTTCCTCAGGTTATAGATGCATCACTGAGAACCTGTCATCACACGGAGTCCTCCTCATCTGTCTCCACATGTCCATCTTATAGGAACACTAGTCATATTGGATTAGAGGCCTACCCTACTCCAGTATGACATATTAATTTAACTAATTTGATTTGCAACTACCCTGTTTCTAAATAAGGTTATATTCTGAGGTATTGGGAGTTAGGACTTCAATATAGCTTAATTTTAGGGGGACACATAATTCAACACATAATAGGAAGCAACTTGCTTAATGGCTGAGACTTCCTCTTTTCCCAACTATCCATTTTCAGTACTGACACTGCATGAACAAAGGCTGGGTGGCTAGAGTGGACACCACTCCCTCTGCTGGCCCGAGCTTAATTTCAGGTACAACATAGCTCTGAGATTGTTCCCAGGGCTTTGAAATTCTGCCCTTCCCTATTCTCCATAGAACCGCTTCCCCTCATGACATCCACACCACCCCCAACCTGGACACCCACATCTCCTCACACCCTAGAGCAGGGGTGGGGAACATCTGGCACACGGGCTATGTAAGGCCTTCGAAATCATTTGGTCTGGCCCTGCCCAAGGCATTAGGGGTGAGTTGATTAAACATTTGAACAAAGATAGCAGGCTAATTTTTAAGTTGAAACTTTGTATGGCCCATAAATGATGTTATAAATATCCAAATGGCCCTTGGAAAAAAAAAAAAGTTCCCCACCCCTGCCCTAGAGCCTTGAGCTTTCCTTCGCTCTTATCAAAGTCCACCTTGGGATCTTTTATCTACACCCAGACACAGAAAAACTTGGAGTGTATGAGGGTTTTGTTTTTTGTTTTTCATTTTAGAGACTTTCACAAAGACCTAGATAGCTTCCAAAGCTTCTGGCCTGTTTTACCCAGTTTACCTTAATTCACATAGTTACCTTAAGTGAATTCCCTAGATTTTGGGGGGAAGACATTATAAACCACCATTATAGGAACTTTTGCCAGTAATACCTTCCTTGGAATTACCAACACAGGAGGAGAATGTGGTAAAATGTGCAAACGCCGGACTACAAATCTGAAGTTCTATGACCACGCACTATGGACGGGCTGTGTGACAGGGTGGTCAGGTCATTTCCCCTCTGTGTCCCTCAGGTTCTCCAAAACTTATTTCTAAAAATAAATTAGACTATTTCAATGCTGATGTTCTGTTATTGCATTAAAGTCAATATTCTATGACCTCACAATAGGTCTCTAAGGGCCATTTAATGCTGACATTCCACGATTTTATCATAGTGTCCAACTTTTTATGCGAGTTCAGTGTTAGGAAAGAGGAGACTTATTCATCATCTTTGAGGAATGATGTCACCTTTGAGCTTCAGTTTTCCCACCTGTAAGTTACAGCAATAACAATATGGACTTCATTCGCTGGTGGGGGTGAGGGTGCTCGGAGAGATGTACAGCTCTGCGCAGAGTCAAGCCAGCAACCTCCGAAGGTTCTCTGCAGCGGCCCCTGGGCTCCGGCGCCCATGTACCGGCCAGCCCACGGAGAGGGCCAGAGG